AAAGGATAGGACAGAATTTGGTTGATTCCTTCACCAAATATTCCTATCTTATGTGAAATCCTTTTTACTTTTTATAGATATCTATTCTCTATAATTGCCTTAAACAGTTACCATCTGTACCAACAGTAACTCTCACCCTCATGGTGTGATACTCTGTTCTCATCAGAAGCAAGATTTACCCATATCTCACTTGAATGGGACCCAAAATAAAGATTATTGCATCTTTCTGTTGCTTTGAGTTCTCACCCTGAAGCAGGTCCAGGCCATTACCCCTTGTGAGCTCACCCTGTCTCCTTGCAGCAATGTTATTTTCATGCCCATATAGACCAGAGCCCCCTGCAGTTAGTGACAAATCAGGAACTCTGCTCCTCTTTTTCCTGGTGCAGAAGTTGTGCTTCTGGGCACCACAGCCCTTCCCTGTGATCCAGAGGGGCGAATGACACAAAAAGCTAAAAATAAACAGGCTTTCCAGAAAACAGGAAATGGAGAGAAGACAAGTGAGCAACACCTGAATTCAAAACTAGCAGAAGGATGTGGCTCCATTCGCCCTGACAGAGAAAGACAGAAACCTTCAGCTTCCTGTCCATCCCATTCCTAGCTTAAGTGTGGGAGCAGCTGGGGACCCTCAGTTCTCTGTGGTGCAGACCTGGGGAAGCCCTCTTGCCTAAAACCTCTATCTAGACACAGCTGGGATAACCTTAATGATTTCTGGCTGTCCACGTCTGGCCCTGACTCTGGGTTCCCTGAATGGTAGCAGCTGGGGCAGGTATGAAGTCAGCAGATGCAAAGGAATGGAAATCTTCATTTGCCTGTCACCCTGTGCTCTCCCCCTGGAGATGCCACCAACTGCTCTGCCATCTTTCTGCCACTATAGCCCACCCACTGCTGCTCCTGGGCCAGCTTGGGTTTCACCTCCAGATTAAACCTGCTGGCTAGGAGAGGTTCTTAGCTCCCAAGAAACAAGTCTACTTTTATGTCCTAACCCTTCCATGCCTTCACTGGGCAAGGGTTTATTTCCTGATAAGCCCAACACATGTTGAAAATGCATTTCAAACAGTTAACCTACTGAGTGTCATAGCTTAGCAACACAGTTCACTGGAGAGTGTCAGTTCTTCACTGTGTGGTTTTGTGGCCAGCAGGAGCCACCTAGACTCCTGAGAGAACATCAGCATATATATCACTTACCCAGATATGTATGAAATTCAAAATTTGAAGTTGACTCCTATCAAATGCATATGACTTTCACACCATGATAAAGTTGAACAACTGTCAGTGGAGCCATCATAAATCAGTTTGTACTTGGACCTCCCATCACGCTCTGCACCTCCTCCCAGCATTCGTGTGTAAATTTGTAAAGACTTTGAGACACTCTGCAAAGAGCCCATAGTACAAGGTGTTTCCAGGGGAAAAAAACAAAACAGAAACAATAATAAAAACACGTTTCTGCGTCTATGTCTGCGAGACAGTCGTAATCCATGACTGTTGTGTTGATGTTCCAAAAGGTCAGCATTTGTCTCATATGAATTGTCCAATTTGGATAATAAGTTATATAGTCTCCCTACTTACAAAGCACAGATGGACCTGCCCAGGTGTAGCAGAACCGCTCCTTCACGGAATAGTGTTTGGCAGAGTTTCTTCACTTCCCGTTCTCTTCGTCCTTCTGCCCTTTTCTAATCCTTTTGCAAAGTTTCTGTCCCTACCCTCTTGCCCAGAATTCTGAATTCTAGACAGAAACCCCATCTAAGTGGTTACAATGCTAACTGCTAAATGATCTTTCTTTAGGTTTACAGAACTCAGAACGTCTCATAATCTTTGTAACACTCTATGTCTCAACTCACAAAGCACAGAAATAGATGGGATGTGGAACTTGCAGAGAAGTTACCATGAACGTCTACTTTCTCCTTCTTCTGTAATACTTGTTAGAATGGAGAGTTATTCAGCCATAAAGAATAATGAAGTCATATCAATTTCAGAAAAATGGATGGAATCATTTGTTGGACCAATGAATGGACCAGCATGTTAAGCAAAATAAGCCAGACTTAGAAAGATGAGCATCATGTTTCTCCTGCTGTGAGGAATCTATGAGAACAACCCAAAAAGAAGGGAGAGAGCTGAGATCTAAGCACCTGCCTGGCAAGCACAAGGGCCCAGGTTTGATTCCTGGTACCACATGCTGACCCCAAGAACAGGTGTAATGGTATGCACCTGTAACCCCAGTGCAGGGGAGGCTGAGATAGGAAGATCACTACAAGTCTGAGCTGCATAGCAAGACCCTGTACCAAATAAATAAATAAATAATTAAAGGGGGAAAAAGCCAAATAGAAGTTATTAGACAAGAGGAATGGGATTGAGGCAGTGTAAAGGATGGTATAATAAAGGGGATGGATATGATCAAATTATCCTATGCATATGAAAATGCTACAGTGAAACATACTTTATAAAATTAAGATGTACACATAAATGTATATCTTGAAAAACACAGCCTAACCGTACAGTGGGAAGAGAAGCCCTGGTTGCAGAGCCGCTCCTCTGGGGAGTTGTCCTTCACAAAGTCACTCCCCTTGCCCTTCCCCGGGGTTGTTATGTTAACCCTTCTTAATCCTTTTACGTCATCTTCTCCCTTTTGCCCAGCATTCTAGATTCTAAAGAGAAGCCCCACCTAAAATGGTTAAGATATTAACTGCCAAATAATCTTTCTCTAGATTTACAGAACCCAGAACATCTGGTGACCTTTGTAACACCCCTCCTCAAAGCACACAAACTGTGGAAATTGGTGTGAGGAGTAACTTGCAGAAAAGTCATGATGTCTAAAAAGAACGGCCAGAGCCAGCCCCAGGAGGCCCAGGTCCACTGGGATAGCCTAGAGAAGAAGAGGAAAAAAGAAAAAAAAAAAAAAAAAAAAAAAAAAAAAAAAAAAAAAAAAACAACAACAAGACACACTCTCTGGACGACAGAGACCCTGTTCAGCGCAAGGAATTCCTGCCCCACTACTCCTTCCCCTTCCTATAAAGGCTTGTGCATCTCTGGGGCCCTTAGTTTGGAGCTTTGAGGCTGATAGCCCTTCGGCTTTTCCTGCGCCCGCCCTTGAATACCCTGAATCTTTACTACGAGCTCTCATCCCTCAAATACTGACCCTCTAGGGGCCCTCAGCCCAGACTTCATTCCAATAATGGTGAGGGACTTAGGCTGAGAGAAGAGAAAAATCGAGGTTGATTTGAGCAGGTAGCTTCAAGGCCCGAAGGCAGCATCCATGCAACTGTCCTGGTGAGTGACCTGCCATCGTCCTCTGACACCTGCCCCACAGTGTCCAGGTCTGCTTTCAACACTAACACCACTGAGTTCCCAACCTCTGCTTGGAGCTCAGATTTGGAGCAGGAGTGCACTGGAGCACCTACAAGACAGAAGACGTAAATGAAGTCGAGTGGACCAAGCAGGAGCGCTCCACACCCGGTGCTCGCAGGTAAGCATTGGGAGCTCGGGCTCTCCACCTGCTCTTGGAAGGCTGCAGATCACCACCACTACAGCTTCTCAGGAGCAGAGATTTTTCCTCCTGCTGCCTTGATTTGAAATAGTGAAGGATTTCATCTTATGGAAACTTCACAAACTTGCAGTTGTGAATTTTTTGTTTTGATTTTTGTTTCTTAGGGGAGTTTCTTTCTTTCTTTTTTTCTTTATTTCAGACTAGGTCTGGCTATCTAGTCCAGGCTGCCCTCAAACTTGGGATCCCCCTACCTCAGCCTCCTGAGTGCTGGGATTATAGGCATATGCCACAACACCCAGTAGATTTCACAAGCTTTAAAAATCATGTCTCAAAAATAAACATAAATTAATTGACTAATTTCATTTTATCTCTTGGCCCTCAAGGTTGTAAATTCCACTGCTGTCCAACACAGGGAAGCAGAACCTAAAAGATGAGCCACATCACTAACACACCCTGCCTAGGGTGAGAGGATATGGGTTTACTCTATTACCACAAAGGAAATCAACCAGCAGTCTAAATCCAGTGCCAATTCCAGTCTCCCAAGGAATCATCATGGCCTTCCTCCCCATCCCCCAACCAAGAGCCCATCCAATAAGTTTCCAGAATTACCTCCTTGTCCCCTCCCCAGGTTCCTGACTTCCACCTGATAATGACACTCAGTGGCTCCAGGACACTCAGTGGTCTCTTAGCTCTGCTGCAGAAGTGCAGTTGGACTTGTTGAGATGCAAATTACCTACCAGCCCCAGACCAGATAGACCTGAATTAGAGTTTTCATGAGACCACCCCCCCATGTGATTCTATGACCATGAAAGATCTAGAAGTATTGTTCTAGAACATCAGGACCTTTGGAGGAAATCTGGTCACAAATGTGAGTTATACGTACTTAGTCTTTTTCCTGCAAACAATGAAACCTTCCCATGGCCTCCAGTCTCTCCGTTATTGTGTTGACAGCCTCCTCTCAGCTTTTTTCTATATCTTGCCAAAACCTCATCAGAAGGCAGTGAGGCAAGGAAGCAAAGAAGAGGGTGGAGGAGGACAAAACCCACCTGGTACACTGAAAATTCAGGAAAGGAGAGCAGGAAGGCGAGAAGAAGGGAGGGAGGTAAAGAGGGGAGATGTAGAAAGGAAGAAGGAAGAAAAGAAGGAAGGGAGAAAAAGAGAGGGAGGAAGGGGGAAGGGAGGACAAAAGAAGGGAGGGAAGGAGAGAGGGAGGGAAGAAGGGAGGCAGGGAAAGGGAAAGGGCCAGGGGTTGCAGAGAAGGGCCCTGATTGGTTCCCATCTACTTCCCTGTCTCCTGCCCTGGAAAACCATCCCCAGTTCCCCTCTTAGTTTTCCACATGACTAAACTGCACGGGGCCCATCTAATCACGTCGCCAGCCACATGGCAGCTTGTCCCCAGTTCCGCCAGCTCACAGAGCCCAGTGGGGCCTGCAGACCCACGCACACCACCCAGTGCCATCTGCTTGCACCACACTCATGCAGAAAGGGCTCTCACAGGTGACCTGGCTGGGTGTGCAGCTGCTGGGTCTCCAGATGCTTCACCATGGAAGGGTCCTTCCGACTGCTGGCCTACTTGATCTGTGTCATCCTGATGGGTAAGTGTCTACTGTCCTCCCTGGCCCAGAATAGACAGAATCTTACCATGATCTCCTCTCAGACCTCAGCGGCTTGGTTTGCCTAGAGCTTCCAGACCTGGGTAGGAGAAGCTGTGTTTTAGAGAGACAGCCTGACACAAGCCAGAAGTTCAGTGTGGGCTTTGCCTGGGGTTTCTGGGCAACTGAAGCAGTGTCCTGACTTCCCAGGCCTCAGTGTCCCCACTGAACAAAAGCCACCTAGCCCACTCACTACTGAGAGGAAAAGAACTGCCTCAGAGGGTGAAGACGGAGTGATCCCTGAATCCCCTTGGCTGTGGCTGCCGTCCCAGTCCTTCGTCTTGACACTCACAACCCTGGGGACAAGATGAGAAAAGCACAGCTCTCTGGGAAGTGTTGGGACAGAGTGGAATGATTTCATGCTGCGAACTAGACTACTGATGGAAGCCACCCTGACCTCCCAGCAGGAGGTCTGAGGGGTGAGTGAGAATGCTAGGCAGGCTAACATAACAATGTCACTCCACTCAATAAATTTGTGCCCCTAGATACAGTGCTTTGCAAAGGGTGCAAAGGGAGGGGGACTACCTACATCTGAATCTCAGGAGGAGGCAGGCCCTTGGGCTCCATCTGAAACCTGCAGAATCAGAGGAGCACACAGGGGGCCCAGGGGGCTTCATTTCCAACCACCTTCTTAGGTGACTCTGGTGCCCAGCACAATTGAGGGTAATGGAGATACATGGCAATTTTCTTCAGCCCTGCTCAACAGGCCCAGCCTAGTCCAGCTGCCAATGTCGCTTCCATACTCAGCTCCTGGACTCTGCAACGGTGCCACCCTGTGCCTGGCCATCCAATGCTCCACCCTGGCATACTGATGTTGTAAGATGTCAGTCCTTGGGGGTCCTGTTTCCACACCCAGATGACAAACTCCCACACCTGAGGCTCCTGTTCCTCCCCCTTTAGCACTTAACACAGTGTGGAGTTTGTTTCTGTTCTGGTTTGCATGGTATACAGTTTGAACTAAGTGCTGAGTGCCGTGGTAACTCTCATAAACCTGTAGCCCTGTGCAAAAGGAACAATTCCTATCCCTAATGGTTTCCATAGTGTAGTAGTTACTATGTTTGCCTCACAGTTTCTATCCCTTCTTCACAGGTGAGGAAATGGCACACAGAGGCTCTGGGAGTATCATATGAATCCTTCTGTATGTGACTCTAACTCACACACACTGTCATTGTGCTGTGGTGGGGACCCAAATAAGGGAAGAGCTATCTTTTCCCAGGCTGACCTAACTCAGTCATCGCTCTAGGATGATTGAGGGCTGGGTCCCTCTCGGAGAGTGGGAGCTGGGAGAGGTGACCCTGCTCAGTGCTAAGGAGGCAGACAGGTGAGCTGTTAAGGACATGTGGGCTGCTGTCAGACACAGCTCTGAATCCTGGCTCTGCTGTTCACTAGCTGTGAGCCTGGACAGCTAATTCATGGTGTTGCAGGGCCCCTGTAGCTCCTGGTGCTCAGAAGCTGGACCATGAAATGTAGCTACATCCTGCAGAGATCACATTGCTTCAAAAGAAATGGGCTTCAGCGGTTTGGGCCAGAGTTGGCTTATCTTTCTCCTGCTGAAGGTCAGCTACTATGAATCAGTTAAAGACAAAAATACTTAGAGGAAGCATGAGCCAGCCACAAGTTCAAGAGCCAAAGATAAACCGCACACACGCTCTAGCTGTATGTGGCAATCGTGAGAGAGGCCAACAAACGCATGGGCTGGCTCCCTGAGGAGCCTGCCAGCCTCACACATCAGTGGCTGCTTTGTGGCTAAACCCCAAGACCCCAGAACCAGGGTGACCCAGGAATACCACTGCCTGAACCCTTATGGCTGCTGCTCACCTGCGAGCCTGCCCAGGTGGCCCAGCCAGAAGACAGAGGCTGCTGCCTGGGCAGGAGACGCTGAGGACCAGGCTCAGCCCCACTGCCATGTGCAAGTGCCCGAGGACCCTTGAGCAGGATATCCCCAACCTGGGCCCTGTCTACGTCTAGGAGTATGGTCCAAGGGAACGCCTTGATGACAGAGAAGTGGGAGGAATCCATCCTTGGAATTGTCCTTCCCCTGCCTTCGTCTCTCACTCTGGTGCCACCCACATCCAGCACCCTAACCCAGTGCTGGCAAACCTACGGCATGCGTGCCACACCCAGCTGTTTGCCATCATGCAAAGTTCTGAAAGATTCACTATCAGTGTATCCCCGGAGGCCCCACACACAGTCTCCCTTGCCTTTCCCTCTGCCCCTTCTCCCTAGATCTGGCATTAAAATGACAGAGAGGCAGGCAGTGTGGGGAGGAGGTCTGATCACTGGAGAGGCTGTGCCGGTTGCATTTACTCTCCAGCACCACCTACCAGCAAGGGCAGGGTCTTCAACCCAGTTTTAAGGGAGCCACAGTGACTTTGCTGGGGCGCCACCCCTAGGATATGAACAAGAATCGTCATCTGAAGGCACTTCTGGCTCCTCAAGCTGCCTACATGCAGAAGAGCTATGGGACAAAGCTTGCTACTGAGAGCTATTTACTTTACCAACTCTGAACCACAAAGAGAAATAAGCCAAGATAGCAAGACAAATGGCAGCAGTGCCCAAGGCCCTGGGGCTGTTTGTGTGGGATGTGGGGAAAGGTCAGGGAGAAGTTGGCAGCTGTGTAGGGCCCAGGGAAACAGGAAGGCTTGGTGTGTGGAACTCTTTTGCTCCCTGAGGCTGTTGGGAGTGTGTTTGCTGGGCTGAGGAAGAGAGGAGAAAAGAAGCCAGGCAGAAGATCAATGCCCTGTGGTGGGCACTGACCCCAGGACAATGGGAGCCTGGGCTCAGAAACAGGTCAGGTGAACAGGTCACCGCCACAACCCATAGCAGGAGGAATGGGGCTAAAGGGAGGCAGGCAGACCCTGAAGGAGTGGAGACCAGCCAGCCTTTCCTCACATTCTCTCACACTGACACTTCTAGAGCTTTCTGGATCTGGTTCACACTGAGGGATGGAATACCTGTCTTCTCTCTTTGCTCTCTCCTTACCTTTCCAGTCTGCATTCTGTTGACCTGTCCTGGCCACCTGTAAACCCACAGGAAGATCTTGGGAGCCAATGCAGGGGCAAGAGGAACCCCAGAGCCATTTGGGAAGGTTTGGTAACCAGGATAAACATGGCATCCTACCAAAGCACCCTTTCCTGACCCTCCAAGAAACAGGTGCATCTTTCCCTGTGCCACAGTGCCTGTTGCCCAGCACTGAAGCCACTTCCCAATGATACCCTGGTTAGCATGCCCAGGGGGCCTCTGGGAGGGGAACCTCATTCAGTATCTGGGCTTGTTAGATTGGCTGCCTCTCAACTGGAAGTGTCAGGCCTGGGGCTGGGGGAGGGGACAGAAGCACATCAAGACTCTGGTGGTTCTAAGTACCATGGTGCCACCCCTCTTGAAGGTACAGTGAGTCCATGATGATGGCCCATTTGGTGGCATCTCTTCCCCCGCCTTAAAATTCATCACTTGTTCCTTCCAGAAAAGTGGGAGGCCCGCCCCAGTGGACCTAGTTCCTCTTAATATGCCATTCTGTGAAGGCACCCTATGCTCACTGTCCCACTGTGACCCCCATGGAGTTCATCTGTCTGTGGAGCCTTGGGATGTTCTTTAATCCCAATAATTATGAAATACATCAAAAGATTCACACAAAGTAGCTATGTGTGGTGACACACATCTGTAATCCCAGCACTTGAAGGCTGAGGCAGGAGGATCACCATGAGTATGGGGCCAGCCTAAGCAACATACTGAGTTCAAGGCCAGCCTGAACTACATAAGGAGACCCTGTCTCAAAAAAAACAAAATGCACAGAAAGTATCTGTCTGCTGTCTGCCATGAAACTGATAAGCAGCTTCCTTTGGAATCAACATCCCACAGGGGTTCCAAAACCCTTGGCCACCTGTGGCCAAAACCAGTGATTCTACTCCCCACCTACACTCTGCAGCTCTGTCTTTTTTTATAAATTTCCTTTGAGAGGGCCAGCCAGATAGCTCAGGGGGCTAAAGTACCTGCTTAGGAAGAGAACAGCAGCGGGGGTTTGATCCCTATCATACCAAGCCGGCCCTGCCCCGGGGGTGCGCTGAGACAGCAACTAAGACTGGGTATGGTGGCATGTGCCTGTAATCCCAGCACTTGGGAGGCTGAAAACAGGATAATCACTGTGAGTTCGATCTACATAGTGAGACCCTATAGACCCTGTACTAAACACATTTTTTAAAAAATCCTTTGAGATGAATTTTTGCTGTATAGTCCAAGCTGGCCTTGAGCTCACCTATGTAGCTCAGGTTGGTCTTGAACTCTCAATGCTTAGTTGCCTGAGTGTTGGAACTACTGTTGTGCACCACAACTGGCTCAGCCTGTCCTTTCTCCATGAGTTCTCTCTCACTGTGGTGACTCTGTTGCAGGGTTTGGGGCATCAGATCAACTTCTCCCTAATGTCATGAGTAAGGCCTGTCATTTAGGAGCTGATGCAGATGCTCCATTCCCATTTAGGTCACCAGGAGGGGGCCAAAAGCTACCGTACTTTAGTGCTTTAGTGATTGGCTCTGAAGAGCGGTCAAGATGGTACATCTTTGCCAATGGCTGCATTTTCCAGCTAGCTAGTGTCTTACTTTTAAGTACTCAAAAGGCTTTACTTTAGCTAGTCATAGAACATTCTATGTTTTTCCATGTTTATCCAAATTTGGTTTTCGGACATAGAGTTTTGGACTCAAAAGTCACTTCAGAAAACATCTAACAACATCACTCTATTGGTGAGCCTGCTGAGGACAGAGAGTTATGGGGGCTTCCTGAGGCCCCAAAGTCCAACTTGAGAGCCAGGGCACCCCCCAGACCCAGCATGCTAGCCACAGGGTACCACACTGAACAGAACGCCTCTTGTGACATCAACTTTGGTGGCAGCTCAGGCTGTCACTGTGCACACCTGTCCCAACAGCCTACTGCATGTCAGGTGATTTGGGGCTGCCTGGGTTCTGTCCTTCTCTGAATGGTCCTCTGACCCTGTACTTTTGTCATTTTTGCTCTGAGCCACCATTACATTATTTTTACTGAACTCTCAAGTGATTCTCCTGTTACTTCTTCTTGCTGCCTTCAGTAGGCCTACAGACAGAAACCACTTTCCAGTTTTCCTATGGTTATTACTAGGATAGAAAGCTAAATACACTGTTAGAAATATGTAAAAATTAAAAACAGCAGCTGGGCATGGTGGTCTATATAATAATCCTAGCTACTCAGGAACACAAGGCAAGAGAATTACAAATTCAAGCCCAGAAAAAAAAAAAATCAAGCAGGGACTGCAGAGACAGCTTGGTGGTCTAAGCACCTGCCTGGCAAGTGCAAGGACCAGGGTTTGATCCTTAGTACCACATGGAGTGGCATCCCCAGCCTAGCTACCTACTTAAACCAGACATGATGACTCATGCCTGTAATCCCAGCACTGGGGAGGCTGAGAGGGTCACTACAAGTCCGAGCTACATAGTGAGACCCTGTACCAAAAAAAAAGCAGTGGCAGAGCACTGCTCAGACTGTCATCTACTGAGGGGAGCATGGTCCCTGGGGCTGTATCAACAGTAAACTCTCAAGAAACATCTATAAAGTAATAAGTAAATGATTAATTTCCAGGTGAGCTAAGGACAAGAACTGGGCTGTTTTGCTTCAACTAGTTTAAAATACCCTATGCAACAGCCAAGGACTTGGTGTAGGAGTTTGTGAGCCCCGCAGGGCCATTCCCCTGGCCATCTCGTCCCCGCAGGTTAGGAGTTACCTATCCCTCTGCGCAGTCATTGGACCAGTGCGGGAAAGGCCCTGCGAGGAGCAGGTGCTATGCACAGGAATAGCGGGGTGATCTGCCTCTGAAGTTCCTGCAGCCCTCTGTCCTGAGAAGAGGCTGATGGTGGCTCCCCACTTCACAGCAGAGGAGCCTGAGACCTGCCATCTCAGATTTGCCTGCAGATCACCCAGGGCATGAAGGAGCCTGGGCAGCGCCAGGCATAGACGCAGTGCTCGATGAAAGCATGCCCTGTGATGAGAGAGTCCCCTAAGCCCTCTGTGCCAAAGTGGGCAGGCTTTGTGTCTCCTGTTGGCCCCTGGAGGCTGAGACACATGAGGCAGATGAGTTAGGGACCCTGCAGTAAGAGACCATGGTTCCAATTCAGGCATCATCCCTGGTCTGTCTCAGTAGACAGGCAGGAGCTGCCAGAGGCAATGCTAAATATCACCCACCGGATGCTAGGAAGCTTGGGCCTCTGCCAAAGCAAATGCCTTTGTTCCCTGGACAATTCTCACCCTCAGCTCACCTTAAGTTACCTGGGCGGGCTCATCCAAAGGTCTCCGTGTAAGAAGGAGTCCAGTGCCCGCCTCTGTGCACCCCATTCAGCAGGCAAACAGGAAATCCACACCTCTGTTTCACAGATCTGCCAATCCCTGCCTGCCTGGTGTCTGCACACCTCTCTCCACTCACCCCACCCTCCCCTGCCAGCCTGACCCCTCCCTTCTGCTGTCTCACAGCAATACAGCTCAGCATCAGTTACTAGGAGGCAGACACGGTGCCAGGCAACAGACAGCCTCTGCCCTAAGAGCTTTAGGTGAGATGCACAGACAGGCAGTGCCCAGATTTGGGAGTGCTTATGCCAGCCCTGGTGGGAACAGTGGAGGGATGCCAGAGCCAGGTTTGGCACTCATGAAAGTCCTCCTCCTATAGGGACAACTCATCAGAAGACTGAGAATGAAGAAGCTGGTTAGCGAAAGGGGCCAGGAACCATATTCAGACAGAACAATATTGCTCACATCCATCACTAGGGCACCTGGCAGACAGCAGTGCACGGATGTGTTCACAGAGCTGTCTGCCTCTCTGAGCTGTGGGCTCCAGCAGGCTGATAAGGTGTCCTGTTCACCTTTGTCCCTGCAGCCCTTAGCCTGGTCCCTGGTGTGGAGTGGGAAAGTGCCCAACAAATATTAAGTAATGAACACACAGCAAACATGGGGAATCAGTGCCTGGCTTTGTGATACGTGCAGGATGCAAGAACAGGGGAGCCGAGGCCGCAGAGAGTGGGAAGTGGCAGGGAAACTGAGGCAGAATATGAACCTTCAGATTGGACAGACACTTTCGGTAGCTAGGTACACTGATCAAACTGGCACAACCTTCAGACAGGGTTTCTCAAATATGGCACAAGCCTCTTCGTTAATAACTGAACACACAAGTTCTTACTAGGGATAGATGTCAAGTCCTCCACTTGAGTTCAAAAACATAATTCTACTTTTCCAGAACAAAAGAGATTAGCCCTAAAAACAGATTGCTATGAAAACAGAACTGGTGGTTTTACCAGATGGCAGGCCGGAGGGGTACCCATAGTGGGATTTTACTGGAGGCACAGCCCTCACCGTGTGGGCAGCTCTGTGGAACTCATGCCTCTCTGCAGGTGCAGCACCCCTAGAGTCACCTGAAGCCACCTGGGTCAGGACAGTACACTGAAAGAGAGGAGGGGGGTGGCAAATGAGGTGTGATTTCTCCACCAGAAAATGGAAGGTGTAATGAAGGTGCTCAGGAGAGCCATCATGCAGTCATGCGAGGCTCACCACAGGAAGAAGATCTGCATGCTTCGTCCAACAACAGCAGTCCTGTGGGCGTCCACAGCCACGGGTTCTGGGCAGGCCAAACGTGCAGACAGTCTGCGGACCTGGGCCGAGGGTGTTCCTGCCCGAGGAGTGAATCGGGCTACATTGCCTCATGGAACAAAAAGTACTGGGTTTGGACTCAGAAAACCTGGTCCTTTCCTACTTTCTCTACCTGCATGAACCCAGGCCTTCATTTCCTTATCTATAACAATATCTACCTTGTCTTTCTCCCTGGGGTGCTCAGAAGGCCACACAACATGGTGTACAGGAAAGACTTGTGTAACTGCAGTGTGTGTAGAGTTATACCCTCCAAAGAGCTCTGTCATGCCCTGCCCCACCCAAGGCCCCGGCAGCAGCCTCCCATGTGGAGGTACCACCACTGGCCTGACCCACCTCTAAAGCAGCCATAGCATGGGGTCCTGTGGCTTGAAGCCCTTGGAATGAGTTGTAGGCAGAGCTCAGCCTCCAGACCTGTTCTCAACGTTTTGGGGTGGTTCATAGGGATGAGGAAGGGGAAACTGAGTCCACACAACAAGGAGGCAGCCCAGTGGCCTAGGGCTCTTCTCTCTCAACTCCCTGCTTGGGATGTCAGCCAAGGCTGTCTACTTGGGTTGACTAGGATTGGGAAAAAATCTCATTCATCAACTCAAAATATTAGCTTTAAAACATTGTCCCTGACCTCAGCGTCCCCTCTGTAAGTGGGAAAGTTCTTGACCTCAAACAAACCCAAGGTTTCCCGCAGGTGGTGAAATGAGGTAGTCTGTATTTGAACCAAAGTTTTGCCTCAGCCTAGCTGTGTGACCTTAGACAATTACTCAAATTCCCCGTTCCTCAGTTTAACATGTAACCGAGGATAACTATGCTTACCTCTAGGATCACTTGTAAGAACTAAAAGAGACACTACTGAGAATTTGCTCAACACAGAGGTGCACAGTAAGTGACTTTATTACCATCTTCTTGGGAATCTTGAGATTGCTGTAGCCGCAGATTATCAGGGGTTTTCCATGGCAGCGATGAGGTGAGGGAACGCTAAAGGGAAGACGGTGGGCCCCTGGGACTGTGGATGAGGCCAAATTCCCCAGTGGGGCCAAGAGGGAGAAAGATCCGGGGACCAACCCTTCCCCTCATGGGAGTACAGGGGAGCGGAGATTCTTCTCAAGTGAGGAATTAGGGTTCTGGACATAGGATTGTCCTGAGCCTGGTGTTTCCAGACACCCTCCCAGGCCTGATGCCCGCCCTCCCGCAGGCGCCCCGGCGCAGCGCTGGTCTATGCAGCTGCCCACCGAGGTGAGCGCGGAGGCCGGCGAGGCGGCAGTGCTGCCCTGCACCTTCACGCACCCGCACCGCCACTACGCGGGGCCGCTGACGGCCATCTGGCGCGCGGGGGCGCCCTACGCCGGCCCGCAGGTGTTCCGGTGCTCAGCAGCGCGCGGCAGCGAACTCTGCCAGACCGCACTGAGCTTGCACGGCCGCTTCCGCCTGCTGGGTAATCCGCGCCGCAATGATCTGTCGCTGCGCGTCGAGCGCCTCGCCCTGGCCGACAACGGCCGCTACTTCTGCCGCGTCGAGTTCGCCGGCGACATCCACGACCGCTACGAGAGCCGCCACGGCGTCCGGCTGCGCGTGACCGGTGAGGCGGGCCGGGCCTAACCTCTCCCGCCTTCAGGGTGCCAGTACAGCGGGCTGAGCCGGCGCCAGGGGCCGTGCCGCCTCCGCGATAGGAACTGCACAAGAACGACCCCCTCTCCGCTCCCCCAGGGCTCTCTAACCTAACCTTGGCCACGGAAAGAGCTGGGCTGGTCCGGGGGTAGGCGCTGCGACGACGCAGCCATAGACCATGGTTGACCCAGTAGCTCGCAGGCCAACATGAGGGTAAACAGAGTGAACGACCACCGAATGTGAGCAACGCGCCAGTGTTGTGTGCCGTCCCCGGAAGGGTGCACAGGACGAAGATCCTGGAGCCAGGGTCCCAGGACCTTAAGGCAATGGCCCAGCTCTGCAACATGACAATGACCCTTTAACGAGCTTCTGCTATGGGGTCAGGCCCTACTCCAAGCGCCCCATTAGGTTAACTTGCCAAGTTCTCTCCACAATCCCATAGGGTAAGGGCTGTTGTGATTTCCATTTTAAACGTGGAGAAACTGAGGCATAAAGAGGTGGAATGGCTTGCCCAAAGCCACACTTGTTTGGAGAGCCAGGCAGCCTGGCACCCAGACGCTCACGGCCTCCTCTCTGAGCCCCCTCCCACTCCTGTGAAGCGCACGAGAGGGAGCCCCCTGCCTTTGCCTGCTGCTCACACTCTGCGCCCGGCTTTCTCACCCTCCCCTGCCTTGGCCGCTGCCCAGTGACTGACACCCCCCCCCCACACTCCTTTTCCCAGCAGCCGCGCCACGGATCGTCAATGTCTCCGTGGTGCCTGGCCCGGCACACGCCTTCCGCGCCCTCTGCACAGCTGAAGGGGAGCCACCGCCCGATCTCACCTGGTCCGGCCCGGCGCTGGGCCATAGTTTGGCCTCCCTCCGGGGCCAAGGTCACGGCCACCAGGTGACCGCCGAGCTGCCCGCGCTCACCCGCGACGGCCGCTACACGTGCACGGCCACCAACAGTCTGGGCCGCGCAGAGGCCAGCGTCTACTTGTTCCGCTTCCACGGCTCCAGCGGGGCCTCTGCGCTGGCGCTTCTGCTTGGCACGCTGGGCCTCAAGGCGCTCCTGCTGCTCGGTGCACTGGCCGCGGGCGCTGCCCGCCGCCGCCTAGGTGCGTGCCCCTTGAACCTGCGTGGGTACGAGAGGCGGGCGGGCGGGGTTCTCCCCTCAGGTAAGGCCATGTAGCTGACCACGCATCTAGCATGATGGATCAGAGCATCCTTTTGCATCCATACTCAAGTTCTCTCTGAGCAGGGAATCAGCCCAGGCTCTGAAGCAAGCCCTTTTGCTCTATGAAAGTGCGCTGCACTGCTCTCAGGCTTTCCCCACTGCCAGCAGTATCTTAGGCTGGGTTCCCTGCCCTCCAAAAGGAGGTTGAGTTAGCAGATCATGGCAGCAAGCTGTGAGAAGGGAACTCTCTAGGCCCCCAGAAACTGTAGATGGCAGACAATGGTGTGATATTCTAGTGGGAGGAGAGGGAAGGTCTTACACAGTACTGGAGCCAGTACACATGAACTGGGACCCAAGGAGCCAGTGGTGCACCTGGCAGAAAGCACAGTATGGGCACAAGTGTGACAGCTAGAGCCCAAAGGGTGTCCTCAGAGAGCTGCCCCACACTTTGGTCACACATCGGAAGTTTGCTATGTGTCTCGAAGAGGGAAGGACTTCCTGGAGTGTCCAGTCCTCTTGGGTCATAGCACTAGCCTCAAACTCTCCAGCGATGAAATCCAGAATTTGTCATGGTGGTCATGACTGCCACCCTTACTTTGGCCACCCTGGCCTTCTTGCTGGTTCTTCAAACTGACCAAGCATTTGTGCTTGAGAGTCTTCAGAAAGGTGGTGTTGACCCCACCTCTGTGCTTGTTAACCTCTAGTAAAGTTTCAGGTGGAGACCTTAGTGTCACTTCTTCAGATCCTGCTGGTTTCAGTCTGTTACAGGCTTCCCAGAGGCCCTTTTTCACGGAGGGGTGGGCAGTGGCAGTAGGTGTGTAGGTTGGAGACTGCAATGCAAACTTGTTCCTCTCTCTGTCCCTCACACAGAGCTCCCAGCCACCCAGGACACCCATCCTCGGTAAGTGCTCTAACTGCCTCACCCAACTCACGTGTACCTAGTCCTATCAGCTAGGGAAGGGATACAGGCTTCACACAACTGGTGGCATAAGGAGAAAGAAAAGGCACAGGGCAGAGCCAGGGGCTTCCTGCCATAGCAGACCCCCTGCAGTGCAGCACCCCCTTCCCGGACAGACAGGCCACACTGACCACTTGTTCACTTACACTACCCATGCTTGGGGCCTGCTATTTGTGGGCCCCTCTTAGATATTAATTATCTAAGAGATAATTCTGAGACTGATACCTTCTTGCTTCCAGGATATGTCTTCTCCTTTGTCTTCTTTTCCTCCTCCCCCTCCTCCTTCTCCTTGCGTCTTCCTCCTCCTCCTCCTCCTTTTCTTCTTTCTTCTTCTTCTTTCTCCTCCTCCTCCCCCTCCTCCTCCTTGCGCCTTCCTCCTCCTCCTCTTCTTCTTTCTTCTTCTTCTCTTTCTCCTCTTCCTCCCCCTCCTCCTCCTTCTCTTCCTCCTTTTTCTCCTCCTTCCTCCTCCTCCTCCTTTGCCACAAGAGCTCAGTCTTTAGTGCAGGCTTGCTTGCCTTGAACTTGCTTATGTAGCCATGCTTGACTTGAACTCACAGCGATCCTCCTACTCCTCCTCCCAAGTGCTGGGTTTATTGGCACACACCACTATGCCCTGCCTGGGTGTTTCTTCTTGTCCAGTATTCTAGAACAACCAGTCTTTCACAGAAGCCACCATGGGGACACACATTCTCTCAGGCACTGCTAAAATCTTCCCAAAGTCTCATCACAGGTTCCAAGGGCCTTTCTTTGATGAGGGTCCTGTGGACCCCAGCCAAAAAGCCATTGACCGGAGAGAAGGCCAATGCCATGCTACAAGAAACCAGCTCTGGACCCTGGGTGCTCTGTGTCTGACTCTCACCTTTTAGGGCCTATTAGATGAGCCCTGCTTTCTCTCCAGCTTGAGCATCTCTTGCAGTCTCCATAACTTGCCACATGTCCCTTTTCTGTGTAATCTATTATCACACCAAGGCCCCTGAACCAGAAAGCTATTTTTAGGCATTTAAAGGTTTTTCATTACTTTCAATGTAGCAGGCATTGGTTTGGATACCTAAGAGACAGAAAAAGCCCTGAACTCGCTTTCCAGTGAGAAATATAATAAACAGAAAAAAGTGTCATCTTAGATTGTAAAACAAGAGATGTGAAGAAAGTGATGAAACAGTCCCAGGGGACAGGGTGACCACTGGGCTGTGGCTGCATTAGAGCAGGATGTTCTCTCTGAGGACATGGCATGGGGGGCCTGAAGCTCGAGGTTGGGCCTGGGGTGGCAGAGTCTAAGAAGGGAAGAGAAGAAAGGAAGTAGATGCATTGGAGGGAGTCGGGTGTGGCCAGAGCTTGCAGCTGGGGGCAGGCGCCCATTCTGAGGGTGACAGGAAGCCACTGGGTGCTTTAAGCAAGTGAGCAGCCCCACCTGGACAAGAGGATCTGGGGAATGTGGGTGGCTGTAGGTAGGGCTGTTTGGGCAAAGGTATCAGTGGTTGGGGTGGGAAGGCAGGCAGGGGGGCTGACCCATGGGCAAAGTGGGCAGCTTGTGCAGAGGGAAGGAGCCAGGATGCCCCAGGGTAGAGGTTGGGCCCAGGGGTTACCTACTGGGATGATGAGGGGAGAAAGGAGAGTGTGGGGTGAGAGATCATGGAGGAAGGTAGACGTGGAAGACTGAAGTGTCTTTTAGTATGTCCCAGACAGAAATCTGGAAAGCAGCCAGGCCCAGAGATCTGGTTCTGGAGGTCAGGGACATGGAGTTAGGTTGTGAAGCCTCTGAAAAAATCACTTCCAGAAAAGACTCTGTGGTACAGGATGCTGTCACCTACAGCAACTCCTGCCTCTAACATTGTTAGTCCCCAAGCCCTCCCGGTTCTGGCCCTATTGTGCCCTACTTAGTGTCCTCTCTGCCTTTTGCTATGTAAAGTTTAGGAAATCAGAGGCCTCCCCCCACATGGGTTGGTTAGCTAGCTCTCTCCTGTCTGCAGGCCCCAGGCTCAGGAATCCAGTTATGAAAATCTGGGCCAGATGAACTCCCGGAGCCCACAGTCCACCACATGGTCCCCACGAGGAGCTACTCAGACACCAGCATCCACTTGTGCACCGTCAAAGTGAAGGCCAGAGCAAGGTGTGGCTGGTGTGGCCCTGCCTGCTCCCAGGCACCTTGGCACCATGCATCTCAGTGATCAGCAGTCAGGAACCAGATCTCAGAAGTTCACCTGGCCTACCTGGACTTCTGTCTTACAGCCTCCATGATATTCATGCTAGTGAGGCCAGCATTCTGCAAGTGTGTGTGTGTGTGTGTGTTCACGCGTGTATGTGCATGCATGCACACATGCATGCCTCTTCTGGTCAGCTCTCCTGTCACTGGGATAAAACACCTGCATACACAAGTTAAAAGAGGAGAGGGATATTTGGCTCAGTTTCAGCAGTTTCAGTCCAGAGTCAGCTTCAGCAGCTTCAAGGGAGAAACATCGTGGCAGAAGGGAGTGGTAGAGCAAAGCTGCTTACCCCAAGTAGGGTGGGGAGGAGGACCAGTGAGAGACTCGCCCTCCAGAGCCCTCGCAGACCTGCCTTCAGCTGGGCCCACCTCCTGACAGCACCTTCATCTGTGAACATCGATGGGTGAGTCAGTGATGAATACAGTAACACCATGATCCAATCACCTTTCCTAGAATCTTATAACCCAGCCACGTTGCCCACCCCAGCAGTCACAGGGCTCTTGTGTGTCTCAGCATGAAACTTCTGGGCAGCTTCCCTCATTCTTTTTTTCCTAGGATGCTGTAGTAAAGCAGACTATAAACTAATCATAGGACCTGGGGATCCAGGCTCCATCCTGCTCTACCAAGTTGCTATGTGAAACTGCAATAACTTTTTCACCTCTCTGGGTCTCAGTTCATCCACATTGATCATGGGCAGTGATAATGTTCCTCTTTCACTGGTAGGTCTATCAAGATCTGAGGAAATAACAGAAGTGACAGGGTTTTTGTAGTGTTTAAGGTTGTCTCAGATTTGGGCCTTTGGACATGCAGTTTTTGGATGTTGGCAGTCATACCATGCTAATGAGGAATAAAGCCTTCTGAAGACGACGCAAAATGAGGTCTAAGGAACATCAAACCCTGGAGACTTGGAAGCAGGCAGAGGCCTCAGCCCACCTCTTACTGACTCAGATGCTTTACACTGTCTTGAGCTGGACCTCCAGGAAAAGGAACCAAAGACCCGTTATCTCAAAGCATCTGGAAGTTTCTGTCTCAAGGACTGAAAGCTGGGAGACTTGAGGGAAGCTGGGGGACCCAGGGAATAAAACAGCTATAATCTCGCTATGGTCCATATCCTCCCTGCATGTGTAGCCTGTAAACGCACTGGCACGTTCACCATGTGCCAAGTGCAATATGTCTAACTTTATGGGGTGCTGTACTCCCTTTCAGGTATCAGTGTGAATATACTGGTCCTACTAGAGAGGGGAGAGGCATTCTTGGGAGCCAGGTAAGCTGACAAGAGGAAGGTCCACAAGACAGCAGACCAAAAACGCCGTGTTGCCTTTCTGGGGAGATGCTCTGAAGGTTGAGAAGGTCACTGGCTTCCCTCTTCACCACAGACTTTGCTGGGCAAGAGGGCAAGGGCAGCTCATTATTGGGATCCAACCAGCAGGCTGCCAGAGTGGTTGAGGCCATGGAAGTTGACATCTGTACCTTCTAACAGAGGCATACATTTGAGTACTTTCATGGGGAGTACTGTATCATCAGGGAAGTAGTTGGGGATACAGAAGTGTGTTGGACTATTGCACTATTGCTCGGCCTTTAAAGCCAGTTTCACAAGAAAAAAAAGTATATATATATATATATATAATGAATTATTGCTTATGGTCTGCTATGTGCTAAGAATTGGGTAAAGTGTCTAAGGCTATAAAAATGAAGGCATAGCCTGTATCAGTTGGGGTGGGCTAGATTGTGCTTCTATAACAAACCCCCAAATCAGCAGCTGACACAATGAGTTTATTTCTTGCCAATGATACAGGCCCGTCACAGACTGGCATGGAAGCTTTACACATTGTCACTCAGGGACCCAGGACCCAGAATCCATCATCTCTTTTGTTGTAGACTGTGGGCAGAATCCTCTAGAGAGTGCTGGGTGTGAATGCCTGCTACTCAAGAAGCCAGGGCAAGAAGATTCCAAGTTTGAGGACTGCCCGGGAAATTTACTAAGACCTTGTCTTGAAAATTACTGATAGAAAAGGTTGGTGATATAGCTCAATGGTAGAATGTCCCTGGGTTTGATCTTCAGTCACACACACACACACACACACACACTCCCCCAGAGGACTTCCCACAGGTGGTGATAGCTTGGACCTAGCCATATGTCCTGTTCACTCAGAAGAGACTGGACAGGGTAACTCCATGTGGTATTCCGAAGGGAAACACAAGGGACATTTGGGAACAGCACTGGTGGCTCCACAGTGACATGGTAAATGGAAAACTGTGTATGGGAAGAGGTATCTGGGGAGCACATGTGAGGAATAACTTCCTGTCATGGGGAGGCTTCCTGGAAGAAGGTACATGGAGTACATATCAGCTATGCAAACAGAGGCCAAGTGGAGAGCTGGGCTTGGGGGATAAGAAAGAAAGGCATTCTAAGCAAAGGGACAATAGGGGCAAAGAGCAAAGGGATCAGAAAGAGCATGGCCAGAAGCGGCCAGAGCAGGAGGACAGAGGCAGGGTGTGGCCAGAGCTGGAGTCACAGTGCACCCTATGCTGGGTGCAGGGTGCTGCCAGGGTGCATGTGCTACTTAGCAGGCTTCTTTCACCAAGCAACCATTACCTTCTTCAGAGCCAGGATGCTCTGCGCTGGGCCCGGGGCTCTTGGAGCAGTGTCTCTGAGTTCTGAGAGGCACCTAGCCAAGAATCTCTGGGGAACTTCTCCATATGCCCATTCCCAGCCTTATCCAGACCTACTGGACCACAAACTTGAAGAGGCTAGAATGCTAAGCAAGTTCTTTAGGAGACTTTGCCTTAACTTTTATTACAATCATTTCTTAAACACACTCTAAAAAAGTTGAAAAGGATGATCACCCAAGTGCCTAGCACCTCCATTCACCATTCCTTACCACACGCTCTGTGTGTGTGTGTGTGTGTGTGTGTGTGTGTGTGTGTGTGTGTGTATGTTCATGATTTATAATGTCTGACACTGCAATACTTCACCCC